CTTGGAGAAGGAAGGGACCCCCACTGCTGCCCACCCACCTCTCAATATAACTTCATCCCACTCAGGCCTCAGGGACCTCACTTTCCACACGACTCAGACTTCAAAAACAGCTTTCTAATTTATAGATGAGTGCTTTAACATTTTCTCTGGATTTTCAGAAGCCCTCTACCTCAGAAACAGCCTTGCCAATAACTGAATACTCCACTCACCAGGGCTCTTCTGCAGCTAGACCTCAGATAGGACAGTGTCTTTCCAGGGGTCCAGAGGAGTCCTGTGTTTAAGAAACACACAGGCCAAAGCCACAAAGACTCCAGTTTCTTCTAGGAACAAGGGCCAGAAAGAAACATGTCATCAGTCACTCAGACACCTTTATAGAGCACTGCATATTTTCCCATGGCTGCCATAACAAAGGATGACAAGCAAGGTGGCTGAGAACAACAAAAATTCATTGTCTCACAGGTCAAGAGAGCAAGTCCAAAATCAAGGTATCGGCAGGCTTGGTTCCTTCTGGAGGCCAGAGGAAATGGCCCCATGCTTCTCGCCCAGCTTCAGGTGCTTCCGGCAGCCCTTGACGTCGTTCCTGGTCTTGTGGCTGCATCCCTCCCATCTCTGCCTCAGAATCCACATCGCCTCTTCCCTTGTGTGTCTCTGCTTGTCTGTCCTCTTCTCATCATGACCCCAGCAATTGGATTTAGGGCCCGCTTTACACCAGAATGATCTCGTCTTAACAAATTACATCTGCAACGACCCTATTTCCAAACAATGTCGCATCTGAGGTTCCAGGTGGACATGAATTTGGGAGGACACTATTCAACCCCCTACAAAGCACCGTTAGGTCCAAAAGCCAAAACAAAACCATCCACCATCACACTACTTACTGCGTGCTCGCTGGGTACCCGGTAATCTACCATGTGAGTGTGTGAGCTCAAAGACCTCAGAGCTGTGACTTCCACCCCAAAGACTGGGGTTCTCCTAACCATGCTGAGGACACGGGGGTCTCCTCCACGTGGCTCTTCCAGTGCAGGAGTGTCATCTGCTCACAGCAGCCTGGTGCACCTGGAGCATCCTCTCAGGACGGAGGGAAGGGCAGGGGCCAGGGTGGCTCGGGGCAGCCATGCCCTTGAGACCTCTCGGAGCGTCCCTCTTGACCATGAGCCGTTCGTCGCGCATTTCAGGAGGTGAGTCTCCACCCCCGCCCCTGCCTCTCCAGCCCAGATTCTGACTGTAGCCCTGCAGCGGCCACAGCTCATGGTTCTAGACACAAGAGCGAGCAGGGTGATGTGTGTCCCGGGTGCTGGCCAGTCAGGGATGGACCGAGCCTGCTGAGAAGCCCTCCGCTGGACCAGCAGGGAGCGGGTCACTGGATCCACCCATGTAAACCTCACAGACACCCCACATGGGGTCCCAGGAGCCAGACTGTCATCTCTCCCCAAAGATCTGAGGCCTCCCTGTGCGGAGTACTGTTCACCCACACCTGTCATAAATCCTTTCTAGCTAGAGACACAGACCAGGGAGCAGCGGACTGTGGCTCCCGGTGTTCTCGTAAATAACGTCTTGCAGGTGCCCCCTGGGGCTCGGGGGCTCCTGGCGAAAGCAGTCGAGTAGCACCTCCAGTTCTCAAAGTGCCCCCTCAGTAACTCTGGGTCCTCTTATGGCTGCCACCAGAGACCGCAGGGGACATCATTCCCCTCTGTCAGCAGGGCAGAGCAGAGAGCCGTGGGCGCAGGGGCTGGAGCAATGCCACCCTGTCGACCAAAATAATCAATCGACAGTCTATACTAGGAATAGGAAAGAGATTTATCTGAGCCAAGCTGAGGGCTACAGCCCGGAAGCCAGCCTCCCAGATAACCCAGAACTGCTCTGCAGGAGCATGGTTTTCAGAACAGCTGTGCACCTCATCAGAACAAAAAACATTAACATTAAGCAAGTCAGGGATACATTCTTCCAAAGTATTTTTTAAAAACAGAGCAGCAGGTACACAGCGAGCCAGCATGGGCTTGGCCCTGGGAAGGGAGTCTTATCCTCAAAGGAGCGCCAGCGTCGGCGTCCCAGGAAGGGAGGCATTTCATCTTTATTTTTAATGTGGACATTCTTTACTTCTAGTCAGTGCGCCCTTTTCTTTAATGATTAGAGCAGACGTACAATGTATGTTTGATGGGCCACAAACAGGCTGTTCTAGTTGACATACAATTCAAGTTAACACAGGTATAAGCCAGAACGACTCCCCCAGACCTCAATATGTGAACATTTGTTTTATCAGCTCCAACCCGCACTGAGACGAAGCTGCTTGGCTGAAAGAGGATTCACTACTCCACACACACACACACACACTCATGCACACATACACACTCACACACCACATGCACACACACATGCACGCACACTCACACTCGCACGCACACGCGTGCAACACTCACACATGTGTGCACTCTCACAGCCACACGCTAGCACTCGCTCACACTCGCTGCACACTTGTGCACACTCGCGCACACAGTACAGACACACACGCACACACAGACTCACGCGCTGCACACTCGCACATGCACAGTCACACTCACACGTGCACACACGCGACGTGCACACCCGCACACACAATACAGACACACTCACACGCGCACACACACGCAGGCTCCCACGATGGTGCCCAGGAAGCTGCCTCCAGCTGCTGTGGTCTCACAGTGCCCACTGCCCCCGAGGCCCAGGTGCTGTGCGCACATCTGCAGGGAGAGGACCCACCTCGAGACAGGACCACACCTCATGTGACTGCTTCTCCACCATCACCACTCTTCACAAGAGCCACTCTGACCACCGTGGACCCTGAGCTCCCCTGGGCATTCCGACAGAATCCATCCCAGTGGCCTCAGCCTGCAGCCCCGGGTAGAAGCCACCCGCCACACTCTTTATACACTCCCCCTCACCAGCGCCCCCCGACTCCAGACTTTCTGGGAACCCACCACCCATATAACCTCCATCACCAGGAACGGGCAGCCATGACAGGAAGGAGAAGCGCCCGTGACTGGCCCTCTGGGGTCCAGGTACTGCTCTGGAACTTCCCTCGAAGTCTGACGGAGGCTCAGGAAGGGCCGCGTGGCCCCCTGCGCACGTCCAAGGAGAACAACCCGGGAGGTGTCCTCCCCAGGACGGGCTCCTTGAGATGAGGCTCAACGGCGCTTAAATGACCTTTGCTATAATCTATGATTATTCAGTATATGAATGAGTTCAGTTCTGAGGGCCAAGTGAAATGGAGAACAATGTTCAGTTATTTCAAATTACATAAGTATACAGCTTTATTAACAACTTGAGGACATGGTTGTTAAATGAAAAGATTCCGATGAATCTACCCAGAAAGTATGTGGAAAGCCCACGAGAAGGAAACATATCACATGTGATAAATGGCTGGATTCCCTGATATGACGGATGGTTTTTTTCTAGCTTTCTGTATGTGCTAAATTCTTTCCACATGTATATAAATAGCTTTTATAATAAAAATAAACTTGTTTATTATTTATTTTACAATGGAAATACATGTATTTCTTTTATAATAATAATAAACTTGTTTATTTTAAACAGTAATTATGACAATTCTGGAAAAGCCTAGAAAAAATAATTTTTCAATGATCGGAACAGGACGAAAGTGGCTTGCATGTAATGAATGCAGCTATGAAAAGCCATGTAGGTGCCTGGGAAGGATTACGAGGATATCATTCGGTGGTGATGGCCTCGGGTGGCTTGTCCCTTCACCTTTGCATTGGAAACTGGGACTTAAAGGAGGAGGGAGACAGCCGCAGGGTCCCCTCTGTGTCAGCCGTCACGCAGCTGCGAGCACCCAGGCTGCTGGCACCTGACTGCAATTGCCCAAAGCATGAAGGAGGAAGGCTAATGTGTTTTAAAACCACTCAGCCCAAATGAAATTATATAACCCAGGAAGGGACACGTCACATCGCTGATGAGAGTTAAAAAAAAAAAAAATAGAAGAAAGAAAAGAAAAAAAACCAACTGTCTCCTGATTCCGCCCAATGAGGGAGGCGGGCGGGGAGGGACGGGTGGGTGTCGGGTCGACTGCTTCCTCCTGGGACTATAAAAGCGGGGAGTTGGCTGCTACCTGGGTCACTGTTCCTGGTCACAGCACCTGCCAGCCTCGTGCGAGCCTCGGTGAGTAGCTCCCAGGGTGCTGGAGAGGGTGGGGGTCCCTGACACTCCACCCTCCTCTGTCAACCTTCCCTCCGCATCCGGGCAGGGGTCAGTCCTGGCAGCCAGGACCAGCGCTGGCGGGGACGGAAGGGGCAGCCACCACGTCGCTTGTGCATCTGAGGGCCACGCCGGCCTGCCGGGGCCCCGGTGCACAAGGCTGTCCATGGTGGAGACAAAAGGTGAAGCCGTCCAGGCAGCTCTGCTGGGAATGCAGACCAGGAATCCCGCCGGCCAGGCGACAGCCAACCTCCAACTCTCAGGAGGCAGGTCCTTCCTCTGGTATCAGGTGCTGTCAGGGTTCTCCTAAGACGCCCTCCACCCAGCGAGGGTCCCAGCCCAGGGGGAGGAGCAAACACCCCAGTGTCTCTGGGTGCATCTCTTTATTACTCTGCTTGGTTTTTTTTTTTTTTTTTGGCTGCGGGGATCTTAGTTCCCCGATCAGGGATTGAACCTGGGTCCCAGCAGTGAAAGTGCCAAGTCCAACCACTGGACCGCCAGGGGACGCCCTTTATTACTCTGCTTTGATGATGGTACCTCCATTTCCTCTAAGTCGGAGTCCCCCTGCCACTGAGTGTGAGACACCCCAACACGTCTCTGGAAAGGAAAGGGGTGGGCATCTTAAATCTCTTGCATGGAGAGCACCTTCCGGGGGCTGGAAAGCCAAGGTCAGCAGAGGGGTCCTCCCTGAAACAGGCAGCCTCTCTGGCATCTTCTGCGGGTTCCTGAAGTACCAAGGGCGGGTAGGGTGGGAGGAGCCAGCCCTATGAGCTGGGGGCACCTGCGGAAGGAGCTGCCAGGTCTGCGGGATGGACGCTGTTCAGGGCCTCAGCCCTGGCAGGGTGAGAAGTGAGTTTTCTCTGTTGCCCTCAGCACCCTCTCCCCCAGCGCCGGTACTGGGGGTGTCCTGCTGCACGAGGACAGGTCCCACCTGCTGCACGTTGATCTTGGAGACTCAGCAGCTGGGATCGGGGGTCGTGGGGAGGGTAAGTGCTCTTGGGAAGGATGGAAGATGATGACACTTCTGCAGGGCCCGGCGGGCGGCTGACGTTCTCCAGCCGGCACAGGGCAGGATGGGAGCGGGCCGAGGGAGGGAAAGAACCCTGCACCAGGGTCCCGGCCCCTGAGCGTGGTCCAGGCTCAGCAGCCCCCCGGCTCCCCTCCCTGGGCACGTCTGAGGTTGGGCCGCACCTCGTCCACCTCTGCAGCAACCCTGGCTCCTCCGGGCAGCTCCCCCGCAATGCGCTCACCTCTGCCCTCCCTGCCGAGGCCAGGTGTGCACACCCACAGTGGTGCGGAGCCCTCCCGCACTCCTGTCTCCCTGACGCAGACAGGCAGACAGATGGGGGCCGTTCCAAGAGAGCCCCGCTCTCTACATCCACAGCTCACATTCCTGCCGGCTTCCTTCTGAGGACAGAGGGTCCTTGCAAACAGGACTGAGCACGGCAGAGGCCACCACACACGTGGTCACCTCATTTAGTGCTCACTGTACGGAGGAGAGGCTGGGGTCCCCAGGGGAGCAAGGGACTGTGCAGAGAGCCAGGTCGCCTGCTACCTCTGTGCTCACTGCCATCCCAGCAGAGCGGAGAAACGCGCAGCAGAGCACAGCTGCCTGCACATGCGTGTAACCCCATGCACACCCCCTCACGTACACAGGGGCGTGAAAACACACGCACCCCCTGTCGTACACAGGTGCACACCCATGCACGCGTGCATTCACACATACACACGCTCACGCACATGGGCACGTCCACTCTGACATGCACAGCGCTCACGTTATCTGAAGGTCCCAGCTCTGTGCGCACGCGCCCTCATGCGCTCTCACCTTTACCCCTGCCCCAGGCTGCGCCCTCCCGTGTGGGACCCCAGCTCCAGCGGGCCTCTCAAGGAGCCAGAGGATGAACGCACCGGGGGCCTGGCTCCTGTGCCTGCTGCTGCTGGGCCTGGCCCACCAGCACTCCACGGAGCTCCGCAGTGAGTGCCCGGACCCCTGGCCTGCCCTCCCACCCCTCCGCCCCGGGGTCACGGTGGGGGCCCGGCCGCCTCCTGAGCTGGGGCACCATCCTCGCTAAGTGCCCCAGGGCTGGGGGCTCGGCCTCCTGCCCACCAGACCTCTCCCCACAGCGTCCCTGACACCTGCTCCCAAGGGCCCTGCCCGACGTTCGGGGGAGGGCTTCTCTCCTCACCACCAGGGCAGCCTGGGGCTGAGGCCACTTTGCCCATGAGAACGGGCTTGTGGGGACAGGAAGGGAAGGGGGACTTCGTCCTGGTGTGAGCTTGAATTCCCATTTCCCGAAGCCACCGCACCCCCCAGAAACGGCCTGGCCAGGCCCTCTGGGCACCCCTCCTGCACGGGCAGGTCCCAGCATGGCCTGGCGACTGGGCAGCAGTGAGCTGCGTGCACTGGGCCCTGCCACCGCGGTTGCACACACCGGGGCACGTGCATTCACACGCTGTTCTCTCTCTTTCCAGCCCCCGACATCAATCCTGCCTGGTACACGGGCCGTGGAATCCGGCCTGTGGGCCGCTTTGGCCGGAGGAGAGCAGCCCTGGGGGATGGACCAAAGCCTGGCCTCCAGCGCCCGCCGGCCTGCTTCCCCCTGGCAGGAGGCGCTGAGCCCTCCCAGGGGGGCTGACAGCTCAGCTCCTCCAGGAATAGCCCCAGGGGCCTGTCTCCAGACCCCCGCCCCCTCCTCCACAGGCTACGTCCCCTTCAGTCCCAATAAAAGCAGCTGGCCTTGTTTGCAAGTGTCTGTGTGGGGACAAAGTGGGAGGTGCTTTCCCTCGTGGGACGTTAGCCTAGAGGACCCTTAGAGCCCAGAGGCTCTAGGACTTGTCCAAGGGCGCCCAGCATGGAGTAGGGAGGCTGGGATGTCCTTGGTCGCTGCAGCTCCTACCACCCTCCGCCAGCCGCCCTGAATGGCTGCTCAGGCTGTGCACTGCACGAGGCCACCACGCAGGAGGCCCCCCGGCCTGCCCTGCCCTCTCTCTGCCCCAGGCCTTCTCGCCTCCCTGTTGGTACTCGGGGGAGAAAAAGAAGCACGGATGGCTTGTTTCCAGTACTCTTAGGTTCACGTATTTCAACCCCAGCTTGCGTCCCTTTCAAATCGCACGGGGACGTCCCTGTGTCCTGTCTCAAAGGGAACTCGCTTTGGCATCAGGGAACACACAGCCGCTAACTTCTCGGAGCCCCGGTTCCCACGCCTGAACCTGGGGCTGATAACCACCCCCCTCACTCCTGAGCTCAGGTTGGTGCAGCCAGCAAGTGTGGATGCGCTGTGAGCGTGAACCCCCTTCTCCAAGGCGCACCCCCTAGTCCAGCACTGGGGTGGGGGGCAGGGCAGGTTTAGCCAGTTGCTTCTGAGCCCAGAGCTCAGGGCCCGTCAGGCCTCTGCCCGCAGGGTCCCAGGAGCCTGCCCGGACCACGGGACTCCTTCTGTCCATCCACACTCAGGAGGGCTCAGGATGCAGAGCAAGCCCGCAGGACCCCAGACACCAGCCATCCCTGCTCCAAATCAAGGAAGGCGGGTCACACTCACCGGCCAGCTGGAGGAGGCTGAGCTGGCCCAGACCACCCAAATGGAGCTGCACCAGGGCTGCCCCCCTTCCCAGCCACTGGGAGGCCAGAGGGAGGCCAGAGGCCAGTCCCCTCCCAGGGGAGAGCTCCCGCAGCGTCGGCACCTCCCCGGGGTGGATGCGCACGGGGGAACAGGAGAGCAGCCGGGTCTGCTTCCGGGGCAGGCAGGTGCTGGGCCAGGGCAGGCAGCGTGGAGAGCCCGGGAAAGCAGTTTGGCGGTTCTTCAAAAGTTAAACCTGGAGTTAGCACACGGCCCCTCCCACTCGTGGGTACATACCCGAGAGAGCTGAGAACCGGTGTTCAAATAAATACTTGTACAGGAATGTTCACAGCAGCACAGTTCACAACAGCCAAAAAGGTAGAAACAACGCAATACCCATCGACAGACGAATGGATAACAGAACGCGGTCCATCCACACAACGGATTATTATTCGACCATGAGAAGGAAGGAGTCCTTTCAAATGCTACCACATGGATGAACCTTGAAAGCATGACGCAGAGTGAAAGAAGCCAGACACAAAAGGTCCCACAGTGGATGGAAAGGTGCAGAAGAGGAAAATCCACAGAGACAGAGTAGCTCGGTGGTTGCCAGGGGCTGGGGTCTGCGCCATGGCTACAGGCTTTCCTTGTGGGGATGGAAGTGTCTGGGAACTGGCCCGAGCTGGTGAGGGTGCTAAACGCCACTCAGTCGTACACTTTAAACAAAAGAGTTCACAGCCCCACAGGACGCAGACATGGAAACATCAGCGTGATGAAGGGCTCCGGATTCCAGCCACCCAGCGTATGATACCCTGTCAGGGCAGCCCCAGGAAACAAATACATCTTCTGAGCCCAGAGGAGTAGAGAGATGGAAGATGTTATGTTTTCTACAAATTCTTATTATGAAAGTTTGCAAACTTACAAGAAATCACAAAAATATTATGACATCTAATACCTTGCATTAAATTCTGCAATTATCACTGTATTTACTTTCTCTCCCTGCCACCTCCCCTCCTCTCTCTCTACCGCTTGGAAGTAAGCTGTAGACATCCTATTTCCCCTAGAAATCTCAGCATCTTTCTCCTCAAACTAAGGACAATCTCCTACATAACCACAAAATTATCACCATGCCTAAAACATTTTGTAATAATTCCCTAATGTCATCCAGTTTTTAGTCCATACACAAAAATCCCCAAATAGGGCAACAAAATCTTACTTGTCTTTTCTTTTTTTTTTGGAAGCCAGGCTCCAATCTAATTTCAAGGTCACCCTCAGTTATTTCTCATCACTCCTGGATCATCTCATTTTGTCACGACATTGACTTTCACAAAGGCCCGGATGTGTTATCTTGTAGAACGGATCCACACGTGTGACCTGTCAACTGCTCCCCCAAGTGCTGTCACCCTGTTCTCCTGTCCCCCCCCCCCCCACTGTATTTCCTGTAATCTGAGCAGTGGGTCTAGGGGCAGAACTGGACTCGGTTACCACTGAGGGCTCGAATGCTCTGTGTCTGTCCTACAGCATCATACCTGATGGTGGGCTCTGGGCCCCGCTCTGACCGGTGCCAAGTCTGGCCCTTTACGGAGAGGATCTCTCAACTGTAAAAATCTCTCAGGTTCCCCGTCTGCTCACTATGCGATCCACAGAGGTCCTGGGGACCCACGGCACTAGCCTGTTTCCCAAAGGGCTCACAGCCAATGATGTAAACCTTATGGAATACCTTCGCTGGGATCAACTGTTACATCATGGGTTGTACAATGGTGATTCTCTAATTCCTTCCACGTGTAGGAGCGGGATTCTTCTAAAGGAGATATTTCTCCTTTTTTCTCCTTTCCTCCCTTTTTTTTTTCTTTTTTGTTCAGCAACTTACAAATCATTCTTGATGCTCAAATTGTCCTAAGTTTGGCCAGTGAGACCTTCAAAAAGGGAATACATTTTAAAAGAAAAAGACTGGGGCTTCCCTGGTGGCACAGCGGTTAAGAATCCGCCTGCCGATGCAGGGGACACAGGTTCGTGCCCCGGTCCGGGAAGATCCCACATGCCGCGGAGCAACTAAGCCCGTGCGCCCCAACTACTGAGCCCGCGTGCCGCAACTACTGAAGCCCACACGCCCAGAACCTGTGCTCCGCAACGAGAAGCCACCGTAATAAGCCCGCGCACCGCAACAAAGAGTAGCCCCCGCTCGCCGCAACTAGAGAAAGCCCGCGCGCAGCAACGAAGACCCAACGCAGACAAAAATAATTAATTAATTTTTTAAAGACGGTACCAACGGGGCTTCCTTGGTGGCGCAGTGGTTGAGAGTCCGCCTGCCGATGCAGGGGACACGGGTTCGTGCCCCGGTCCGGGAAGATCCCACATGCCATGGAGCGGCTGGGCCCGTGAGCCATGGCCACTGAGCCTGCGCGTCCGGAGCCTGTGCTCCGCAACGGGAGAGGCCGCAACAGTGAGAGGCCCGTGTACCGCAAAAAAAAAAAAAAAAAAGGTACCAAAAAAAAAGAAAAAGAGAAAGAATGGATTCCTGAGTCAGCCCTCTGGGCACAGGGGGCTCTTCCAGGGAAGTTGGAGGAGGCGTTAGAAGCAGAGGGGGATGGGAAGGGTCACGGCTACAGGCAAGACAGCAGGGCTGCGCCCACACGCTGCTTCTCGTCCTCTCTGTGCTTCCTGCCTCCATCACAAGCACGCAGGCGCACACACAGCCCGGCTCATGAGAAGGGCTGGAGCGGATTCCCCGGATGCGGGCAGGACGGCGAGCTCAACCACCAGCCTCCCCTGAGCACCTGCAACCCCACGGGCTCATCGCCTCCCAGGCTCTACGCCCACGCCCCCTACCACCACCTCACGGTCCAGGACGGGCTGAGATCAGGTGGGAGAAGCATTGACGCAGAGAGAGGCTTCCATAAACGTCTGCGGTGGCTGGGGTGGAGGCTGTTTGTAGAAGAACATGCCTTTTCTTTACATCACTGGGAATATCGGCTCCTGTCCTCTCTTGGACACATATTTGTTGAGTGCCTGGCATGTACCAGACGTCGTACCAGGCACCGGCAGCCCCACGAGAGGAAGGACAGACAGAACCCCTGCCCTCATGGCAGAGCTCCCCCTTATCTGAATATTAGGTCACCAGGAGGGCTCAAAATTCCCAGGGCTCAAGCCGCACTGCAGATGGATTTAACCAGAGCTTCTGGTGGGCACGGGGATGCTGCCTGCAAAGGCTCCTAGGTGATTCCATTGCAGGGCTGAGCCCCACCTGCCTCGTGGGGGAGAAGGGGAGGAAAAGGGGCTATCACAACCGGCAATGGGGAACCCAGCTCCAGGATCACAACGCACCCCATCCCATCTTGGGGGAAGGGAGGGAAGCGTGAACGGATGCCAAGTGGCAATGAGTCAAAGAATATGTTTTAATAATAACTTCTAGCACAGTGTTACTAGCCTGGCAAGACGGGAGAAAAAAATCAGAAATGTGGGCATCCTACAAATATTATTTCCCCACTCCCTACTTCATCATGGACGGGTCAGATACTCCTCTGAAAGCCTTACTGTCAGCAAAGCAGCATTCAGGACGCAAAGACCAGGGGCGGTGGGGTTTGCCTTCAGCGATGCTGGCGCGCCATCTAGTGGCCAGGGGCCACCTCAGCCTCCCGCCACCTCTGAAGTGGGTCCCGCGCTGTGCAGAAGGGATCCCAGCCCTGCTACCCCAGCGTGGGGGAACAGACAGCATGAGGACTCAGCCTTACACAGAGGGGCTCACACCTCACGTACTTCACCTACAAGGGAACAGTCGCATACAAAACTTCACTGCAGTCAGAAACTGCAGGGCACACAGCACCAAGCTGTCAGGTTTCACCTGGAAATTGTCTAGGAAAAAGACCGCGTGAGTGCTTTTGGGACGTCCAGGAGCTCAGCGTCAATGGGGAAGGATGCTTTACGTTTCTGTTGATATAGAAGTTAGTTGATATAGTGAAGCCACCTTTTTCAGGGGGATGACAATGTCGTCTTATTTAAAATTTCATACAGAAGAGCCATCGGGCCTCTCTAAAGGCAGGAACGAGGTGAGCCCATGATGTGTCACCACCAGAAAGATGTCCTGTGCCCACCTCAGCCACAGCCCGCACCTGGGGCCCCTCAGTATTTACTCACCATGAGCCCTCCTAGAGGATGTGCAGGAACTCACCGAAGACCATGTGATATAAAGTTAACCCTAAAAATGCATTCCAATAGACAGTAGGTGCAGACAAACACTGTTTGATTCCACTTACACGAGGTACATAGAATGGCCAAATTCATAGAGTCAGAAAGTCCATTGATAAATTCCAGGGTCGGGGGAGGGGAGGGGGGAGGGGGAATGAGGACTCAGGGTGTAATGGGGACAGAGTTTCCGTTTAAGAAAGTGAAAACTTCAGGAGACGGATGATGGTGAGAATTGCACAACAATGTGAGTGTACTTAGTGCCCCCGAACTGTACAGTTAAATGTGGTTAAAATAGTATGTTTTATATTATGTGACTTTCACCACAATAAAAAAACATTTGGAAAAACAAAAAGGACCACATGATAGAAATCGGTTTACTTTTCGGAGAAAAACTCATACGCGATACAATTTGCACCTCGGCTTGAAGTCTGAGTCCTGGCGTGCTTTGCACAAGCACCACTTCGCATTCACAGAGAGGAGCAGAGAGTAGGGGGCCTGACTCCCCCACCCCCATCCCCAGCTGCCCTCTGTCAGGCACCGTCCTTCGGGGGAACCTCACAGAGATCCCGTGACGACGGGCCCAGCCCCATGATGGTCACGCCATCTCTCCCTGGCACTGCCCCCTGCAGCTGGGCCTGCTGTCCCCTCTCCCACCTCCCAGGAGCAGGGGGGCCCCAAGCCCCCGGGCAGCCCCCTGCCCAACACCAAGTGCATGCTGGGTGATTTTCCGATCTTTATTTCCCCTCTGACCATTTCATTCTCCAGTGTCCGGTGGCCAGGCAGCTAAGGGCAGGGCCATGCGTGCCCACCCCCCAGGACATCAGGGATTCAGTCGGTATCTGGTGTCTGAGAGGTGGAGCTGACACCTTCTGGGAGCCTTGGACATGGGACCCTCTCCTGAATGATTCCCACCAGCTTGGGAGGTGGTTATTCTAAGGGACGCCCTCTTGCAGAGCCTCTAGGACTCAGGAGCAAGCCAGCATCAACAGTGAATCAGGATAAGTACCAGGATAAGTGAGCTGGCGGTGGCTCACCCTGAGGACCAGTGGGTTGTGGGCTGGGCGCATCCTCCCCACGGCCTTTCCTGGAGTGGCCCCTTCTAGCGGGCGCAGCATCTGCCCCGCCCCGGGGGCGTCTCATTCAGAGCCAGCCGTGCATCTCCCTGCTGCCTCTGGCCCTCCTTCTTCTCTTGTCTCTGCAAAAGCTCTCGGGCTGGGGACGACAGGAGAAGGACGTGGCCTGGTTGGGAGGAAAATCCCCCAACCCAGCCCAGCACTCGCCTTGCACACGTGGCATCCCCCAGGGTCCCACCCTCCCTGATGTTTTCCAGGAAGCAGGAAACACGGGCCCTTGACTCCTGCCCACTTTCCAGGCCCTGGGGACGTTCTGCTGGGTCCCAGGTTGCCAGAGAAGAAGACCTGTTGAAGATCCAGTGATGGTCCCCCCACCCCCTGCTCTGGGGTCGGAGGCTGGTCACTCACCGACAGCACTGAAGACTTCAGTCACCTGGTGGTTCAGTTTGGCCGAGGTTTCCATGAACAGCAACCCCTTGCTCTCTGCAAACTCCCTCCCTTCCTGACGGAAATGGCCACGGAAAGCCCACATTAATCATCAGAAGTTTCCCAAGAACACTTAGACGCCTTCTAACAGGAAGACCCAAGAAACACCGAGAAACAATTGCACCAGCAGAGAACGTCATTCCTCAAGTTCTGTTTCTGGGGCTCCCAGAGAAGGGGGCCCAGACCAGGGAGCAGGGCAGGGAGGGTGCTCGCTGGCAGGGGAGCCCGGCGCCCGCAGCGGGGTCCAAGGATGCTTGCCTTGGCGAGGTTCCTGCCCCTACCACGGCTCTCTGGCACCGGTGGGCTCTGAAACCAAGTGACAACAGAGGAAACATGGAAGGGGAGTGGGGACAGCCTGGTGAGAGCCCGGCCCTTCTCTGGGTCCCCCACCACCGTCCCACAGGGGTCCGACCTACGTGGAGTGAAGGGTGTACAGAGCAAGGGCGTCTGGGAAACACCAGGGCTGCTCGTGTGGCCGAGAAGCGGAGAAGCGTTCATGGGAAGGCCGGGGTGAAGGAGGAGCTGGGGGACTCCCCGTGCAGGCCCCTCGACTCCAGACCCTCCCAGGAGGCGCAGTGCTCAGTGCCTGACGCTGAGCCGGCCCCTGGGGGCTGGGCCGGCCGTGCCCACAGCATGGCGCCCAGCGGTGTCCACTCCCCCCCACCCCCAGCCTGGCCCGCAGAGCTTTGCTCTTCACCACCCCCCAACGAGCTTCTCAGCCCTTTCCCAGACACAGGGATGGGGACATTATTACTTGTATTTTAAAGGACAAGGTGACCTGGTACAGCTGAAGACTCGGTGACTTCAGGTAGCTCATATCTGGGTCACATGAATGAAACTCAAATACCCCCTTTGCCCAACTAGCTTGGGGGTTCCAGATGGGGTCATTTTAGGGGTTTGTCCTCGGGTCCAATGAGCGTCTGGCCCCTAAATTGCAGGTCCCCAGCCCTCCGTCTGCCAGTTTGTCCTGGAGGCTCCCCAGGATGGGAGCCACGGTTACCTCACCCCCCGTGGAATGAGCACATCCAGTGCACAGATCTTGACTCCTAAACTCATTCCCCAGCACTAGGAACCAGGGCTCTTTGGGGAAATGATTGATTCCAGGGCTGGGGCCTAGAAAGGACAAAGGTGAACCTGGAACAACTTGGTGAGCCAGAAAGGAAGGAAGCGCTCAAAGAGTAACAGGGCGGGTGACAGGGCCAGCGGAGGGGAGCGCTCTCGACGGCCAAATCTAGGAGCAGATTTCCCGCGACCAAGAGAAGGGCGTTAGTGGGGAAACGACAAAATCTGAGCGAGAGCGGTAAAGCAGTTTGAACGTTCGTTTCCTGATTTGCTCGTGGTTCCGAGCTTACGTAAGATGTTAACATTTGGGAAAGCCGGGAGAAGGGCCGACAGGGACTTTTTGTACTATTTTTGCAACAATTTTTGTAACTCTGAAATTATTTTAAGATGAAAAGCCCCCAAATCAATGTGAAAGCTGCACTGGCCACAGGTCAGCTTGGCCTCTGCCCAGCCAGGCACCTGAGGCTCCGGGGTCTGCCCCCCGCCCCCAAGGCCCAGCTCAGTGGGAGCTCAGAGGGAACAAGAAGCCAGGGTGGGGTCTGGGGGCCCAGGGTCTACAGCCCAGGCCCCAGGGTGGCCGCTTCCGTGCAGTCTAAGCCACGGGGTCCCCCTCCCGCGGGCAGGGGTCCTGGGAGAGCGGAGAGGAGGCCCCTCCCGCCCCTGAGCTGGGCCCCCGGCCTCCAGTGGGTCTCCCCACCCAGGCCCCATCTCCCAACTCGGCCTGACCTGGGCCCCACATGCTCTTCCTAAATCACCCATCAGGCCCCCACGCCAGGGACTCAAGGCTGCCCCGGAATAAAGCCCCCAGTCCCAACACCAGCGCTGGGATCCCTGCCTCTGAGCCCCAGCGCCTACCCAGCACGGCCTCCACTGGCCGCCCCCTGCCCCCAGACTCCTCCCCTTCCTGCCCTGCGCTGTAGCCCAGCACCCTCCCCGTCCCGCTCGCCCCTCATCTGCCCCTCCTCCCACACCCCCACATACACACACACAGACACCACTGTACACACGCGTCCTGTACACACGCGCGTCCTGTACACGCGCACGAACCCCTTGCTCCCTGCTTCAGGTTCTCCCCGCTTTGCAAGCAACCACCTAGAGCGTTTATTCTGCTGTTGGTCGTTTTACAGAAGAGCTGCAGCTTTCGGGTTCTCTCTCCCTTGCTCATTTCCTAGCAAAAAATTTGGATCTGCCCCTTCTTGAACAGTTTATTGAACACAAAGAGAAAGATCTGAGACCCGCATTACTCAAAGAAGGAGCGAGGGTGGGAAGGGTCGTGGTTTCCTCATGGAAACCGTTCCCTGCACTGCGCCCGCCCCTGCCAGCCCTCGGGAGGCTGCGGTCATGCTCGCAGCTCTCCCGGCAGCCAGGAGCAGACACCTCTGGGTCTGACCTTCCCAGGAGAGACCAGAAACCTTTGCCCAGGAGGGAAGCTAAAGGGGTATGTGAGTGTGTGCGCGTGTGGGGGGGTGTGTGTGTATGAGTGTGTCGGTAGGTGGGCGTGTGTGTTTGGGGTCCCTCCCCCCTCCCGCACCGGGGACATAATGACCGTCTCCAGGCCCACCTCAAAGGTCACCTCCCGCTCCTGGTTGAGGTCCGTCTTGTTGCCGACCAGCATCACCACGACTTCTCCAGGGTGGAACTCCTCCTCCAGGTCCTTCAGCCACTGCCGCGCCTTGCAGAAGGAAGCCTGAGAAAGGAAAACAGGACTGTCAGGCAAACCCGGTGGTCTTCCTCAGCCATCCCAGGAAGGACAAGGCAAGTGTCGGCAGCTACCCTGCGTAAAACACAGGATCCAAGTGACCCACCCAAGGAACCGTGAGGGATGGATGGGGGTGCTCTGTTCTGGGTACTCCGGGAGGACCACAGAGGGGCGCAAACCCAACCGTGCAGCAGGAAGAGGGGCTGTCAGGGAGGGCTTCCTGGAGGAGGTGACCAACTTTCACTGAGAGAATCTACTGGTTGTCACGATTTTAACATAAAATGGCACATGATCCAACTGGCCTTATATCGGGCCCCAAGGGCTGTTCTGCCCCTTGAGCAGGGCTAGCTGCTCTTTCTCTGGCCTCGGGTGGTCTGGGCCGAAGGCAGCTCTGTCCTCACCCAGGCAGCAGGAGGCTAGGGGCTGCAGGAGGTTCCGAGTCAGACCTGGAGCCCTAGAGGCCTCTGCTCCACGATACCCTCAAGGACCACTCTGTGGGGAAGTGGCTGTCACACCAAACCCTGATCCTAACTGCAGTGCCCCACAGCCCCGGGAACGGGGCCTCTGTCCTGGGTCCCACGCAGCCCCTCTCCCCTGCAGCCATGCTGACCCAGTAGGCCTGCTCTCGGCACTGCAGGGGCTCCACGCACGGCACTCGACCTCCTTAATTCCACCAGCGCTGCCCTCTGACCAGATCTCCCTTCCCCCTCGCCACTCACACGCCCACCACCACCTCCCTGCCCGGCCCTGCCCAACAGGACTAATCCTGTTTCTCCCAACGTCTCAGCTAGAGCCTTCCTGCAGGAAGTATGGTGCCCCTCCTGGCAACTCCCATAGAACCCCACCCTTCCCTGCTGGTACACTGAGCATCTGCTCACTTCTGTTTGGCCCGATGATATTCTGTAGTGGATATGCAGCCAGGGGCTGTATCCTGTTTTCATAACACCCCCCTCACCAGCTCAGTGGGCACCCAAGGAATCGTGAGTGATGGATGGGGGTGCACTGTTCTGGGTACTCCAAGAGGACCACGGAGGGGCGCAAACCTAACTGTGCAGCAGGCAAAGGGATTGTCAGGGAGGGCTTCCCGGAGGAGGTGACTGACTTTCACTGAAGGATTCTCCACTGGTGCTCACGATTTTAACATAAAGCACCAGCACAGGTCAGTCACGTAATGCCGCCAGAAGGTTGCATCCATGTGCCTGGGAGGGCGGGGACACACCCAGGTGAGCCTCACCTTCCTGGTGACATCATACACCAAAAGCGCAGCATTGGCACCCCTGAAGTAGAGGTGGCAGACGCTGTGGTACTTTTCCTGGCCAGCCGTGTCCCAGATCTCAAACTTCAGAGATGCAGCCCCCAAATCCACCACCTTTGTGAAGAACGCACCTGAAACAGAAGCCCAGAAGGAGTTTTACATGGAGGACGAGGTCTTTATCCACGGCTCAGCCTGGGCCAGCGTGAACCCTGGGCTCAGCAAACCAGCCAGAGACAGCCAGCCCTGTGCTTCCTGTCACCCTCAGTGGGGAAGGCTCAGCAAACACCTCTTCTAGAAGATGGCATTTTCCAGAAAAAGCAAAGAGTGGCAAGGAATTTGCTGCAGACCTTTGCAGATTCCACAGAGGCTTTGGGTGGGAAGATAGACTCTCAGGGTCCTATTCAAATCCTCTGGACTATGTGAGGCATGGAAGGGTCTCTGACAACCAGGGTCACCCCGTGGGTGTCCAGCGAGGTAGCTGGCATGCTGACGGTCACACCAGCTCCTCCCCTGCAACCTTCCCGGCCTCCTGCTAACCCCCCAGCCTGACCCACACCTCTCCCTGCTGACCTCCCTTCTCCACTGACCTCTCTGCTTGGAATCCTTCCTCTTCCCCACCTCCCTACATGTCCACCGGGTCTCTGAGTGTGAGCCCTTGGGGCAGTGCTGGGGCCCCCTTCCCTGGGCGTGGTCTACAGTAGCCCGCCTGTGCTTATCACTCACCCACTGCACAGGTAGACTTCCGTGTTCTCATCTGTCACCCCTGGTGACAGGGAGCACCTGGAGAGCAAGGACTTTTATGCTTTATTGTCCCTGCTTAATAAGTACACACAACGAAAGGTCTATCCCCAAACCATTCATTCAACATATTGGGCAATCCACCTTTCATTTGAAGACTGTTTTCCCCTTAGCATAGCTTTCCAAAGTGTTGTGACTTTAAAATAGTTATTTACTAACACCAGGATGTTCTGTCCCCAGAATGTAAAATGGTGCAGCCACTATGGAAAACAGTATGAAGATTCCTCAAAGAACTAATAAGAGTTGCCATGTGATCCAGCGATCCCACTCCTAGGCATATATCCGAACAAAACTATAGTTCAAAAAGATACATGCACCCCAATGTTCACAGCAGCACTATTCACAATAGCCAAGACATGGAAACAACCTAATGTTCATCGACAGATGAATGGATAAAGATGTGGTACATACATACAATGGAACATTACTCAGTCATAAAAAGAATGAAATAATGTCATTTGCAGCAACATGGATGGACCTACAGATTATCATACTAAATGAAGTAGGCCAGAAAGAGAAAGACAAATACCATGTGATATCACTTATATGTAGAATCTAAAACATGACACAAGTGAACTATTTACAAAACAGAAACAGACTCACAGACATAGAGAACAGACTTGTGGTTGCCAAGGGGGAGAGGAGGTGAAGGAGGGATGGATGCAAACTAGTATATATACAGGATGGATAAACAAGGTCCTACTGTAGAGCACAGGGAACTGTATTCAATATCCTGTGATAAACCATAATGGAAAAGGATGAAAAAGAATATACATATGTATAAGTGAGCCATTTGCTGTACAGCAGAAATCAACTATACTTCAATAAAATAAATTTTAAAAAAGATGTTCTGGGCTTCCCTGGTGGTGCAGTGGTTGAGAGTCCGCCTGCCGATGCAGGGGACGCGGGTTCGTGCCCCAGTCTGGGAAGATCCCACATGCCGCGGAGCGGCTGGGCCCGTGATCCATGGTCGCTGAGCCTGCATGTCCGGAGCCTGTGCTCCTCAATGGGAGAGGCCACAGCAGTGAGAGGCCCACGTACCACAAAAAAAAAAAGATGTTCTGCCCCCATAGCGTATGGGGTATGTCATATACAGAACTAGACCAGGGACTGGGAGGGGCCAGGGATGAGACTCCAGGCAAAGCTTCTGTCCTGCCCAGACCCGGGCTGGGTTGGAAGCTTGTTGGGAGATTCTGGTAAATGTAGCCACATGCTTGGAGTTAAATTTTTCACTCCAAGACCAGTGTGTTAGTGCCCTGGGGTTGTCATAACAAATAACCGCAAAAAGGGTGGCTAAAAACAGCAGACATTTATCCTTTCAGTTCTGGGGGCCAGAGGTCCAAAATCAAGGTGTTTCCAGTGTTGGCTCCTTCCAGAAGTTCTGAGAGGGAATCTGTTCCACACCCCCTCCTGGCTCCTGGTGGGGACCAGCAACCGTCGGTGGTCCCTGGCTTGTAGGTGCATCACTCTCGTCTCTGCCTCTGTCTTCACATGGCCACCCCCTCTGCATCTGTGTTCTCCTGTTCCAGAGACACTGGTCATGGGATTCAGGGCTCACCCGAAATCCAGGACTATCCTTAACTAGTTACATCTGTAAACACCCTTTTTCCAAATAAAGCCACATTCATAGGCACTGGGAATTAGGAGGAGGACGAATCTTTTGGGGGACACAATTCAATTTGCTACAGACAGAGAATAAGAGACAAGTCTGGGCTGAGATTTGTAGCATAGAAAGGGTAAGACCATGATTCTGTCTCATGAGAATCTAGTTTGGGGTGACTCCTAAATGGAAACCGCTGATCCACCCTCTGCCTGCACATCCTGCATTTTTCTGCTCGTCCACAAACTTGAAGTCAGATACACTTCCTAGGTGTTATGGACTGAATGATTGTATCCTCCCAAAATTCACATATAGAAGCCCTAACCCTCAGCATGATAGTATTTGGAGATGGAGCTTTTGGGAGGCGATTAGGGTTACATGAGGTCATGAGGGTGGGGCCCTCAGGATGGGATTAGTGCCTCTGTAAGAATGCACTCCCTCTCTCTCACTGTCTCTCTCTCTGTCTTCTTCCCTCTGTCTCCTCTCTCTGTCTCTCTGTCTCTGTCTGTCTGTCTGCTCTCTCTCTCTCTCTCTCTCTCCTCCCTTCCATGCAAACACAAAGAAGAGGCCATGGAAGCACACAGCCAGTTACCTAGATGGCAGCTACCCATAAGCCAAAAGAGAGCTCAGGATGAAAACTACTTGGCCAACACCTCGCTTTTGGACGTCCAGCCCCAGAACTATGAGAATAAACCTCTGTTATTTAAGGCACCCAGTCTGTGGTGTTTATTATGACAGCCCAGCAGAACACCACACCAGGTCAAACAAAGCTGCCATCTTCAGCTCAACAGTAGGACTGACAGCTCCCAGCTCATACAGGGCTACTGTCAGGACGGAGCAGGACAGAAGCTCCATTAAGACTGTTGAGGTTTTGAGGGTGAGGGCCACGCCTGGGCCTTGGAGGGAAGTCTATCAGCTGCAACAAACTCTGTGGGCTTGCTTCAACCTTAGAGATCCCAGCTTCCTCCTTTACCAAGAGTCAACAGTGCCCTCTTCCCAGGGCGGTTGTCAAACCCAGGAGAAAAGAGACGAGGTGCAGGGTGTGGCACCTGACGCCCCTTCCTCCCCTCCCTCTCCACTCTCCCGGCTCACTGCCTGGGAACAGCAGCCTTTGATCCACACCCTTTGTCTGTTTGCTATCAGGTCAAATCACACTTCTGTGTGCGATTTTGGTTTCAGCCTAAAAGTCCTCACTGCCAGGTTACAGATGGGCATAAAATTCAGGTTTGCCTCCTTTGCTTAACAATCTTAGCTTCTGATGCTTTCCTTTTTTACTCTGAAAACGATGGCAGGTGGCTGAGTTTAAATCAACGTAAAATCCCAACTGATTTCCAAGGAGCTCAGGGTTTTCACACCGAGCAATGATGTGGCACGAGTGGCTGTTGGATATTCACAGACTGCAACACCTCGTCTCCCCTGGAGAGAGACACAGACCCCCCAGGTGGGCCCCTGGGCTGGTGTCCAAAGCAAACTTCCACCCCCTGCCCCGTGAACTCCCGGCTCCAACCCACAAAAGAGCCCACATGTATTACCTTCCTTGTTCAGAAACCCACTGACCACATTTTCTACCTGTTCACAGCTAAAGCCAAAAAGTGATTAAAAAGTAAACTTCCGAGATAGTCAAACAGACTGGGAGATTTTTCCTGAAATGATGTTGGCAACAAGCTGGGATGTGGGAGCAGGACCAGGCCCAGAACCCAGAATTGTCCACGTTTCTAGAATACGCTGGTGGAGATGACACACCGGCACATTTTTACCAGACGATACTCTGAACCGGGGCCACCTGGCATTGCTTTATATGGTGACACAAAGCAGGACTCCAGCCTCCTCTGGCCCCAGCACAGACCTCAACACAGGAGCCCCAGCAGTGGGGACACTTGGGGATGCTTCCGGCCCCCTCCCCAGCCTCTGGAAGCGGGCGTGCCTTCCACTTGCTGAGCTGAATGGACCCCCAGCGGGCAACGAATGACAAGAGAATTCACTGGGGGTTGTTCTTCAACTTGCATTCTGTTGCCCCCAATTAAAAGGTGTCTCAACTAAATGTTAACACAAGGAAATGTTTTGCTTTTTGACCTTTTAATTTAAATAAACGTCCTATCCTGCTCACTGAAGTCCCCTCTGCGGCGCTCTCTTTTCTGTAAAAGTCACGAGCTGCTTCCCAAGCTGCTTCCCGTTGGAAGGGAACACAACATGGGTGACTTCTCAGGGTCACCTGGGCTCCAGCAATGTTTCATTCAGCAGGGAAGGGAGGTGGGGCGAAATCCAGCACCTTTCGCACCTTCACTGCCCCAGGCAAGGCCCAGCTGGTCCAAACTGGCTTCTGCCAGCAAATCCGAACGCAAGCACTAGATGTCACCACCCCTCCAAAGATGTCACTACAACGTGCAGGGCAGGGAACTGGGCCGGAATTTCCCCTGCTGCTGCCTTTCAGGATTCCAGGATGAGCGGCCTGCGGGAGCTCTTGGTGCTCCAAGCTCCCAGCCACCATAAGCGCGTCTGGCAGCTGCCCACCTCCCCTGCCAGCCCGTCTCTCAGACGGGCCTGGCGGGCTTTGTGGTGCTGGGGCAGCCGGGAGTTCAGGAGGTTCTGGTCTCCTCCCAGCAGGCCACGCCCTCGGGAGGCTGTGCTCAATTCCACTCTGCCTCTGCTTCGGGTACAAGAGTCTGTCAGCGCCTGCCACACTTACGGCTCCGGCTTCCTCTGGAAGGACAGGTCTTGCCGCAGGGTGGCTGGAACCCTGTCTTGGCCCGGGCGCTCTTCTGCACAGCTGTGCCCAGTGCTTGCGTAACCCTCCACTGCGGGGCCACTCCACACACTCACCGACAGATCCAGACCCTCTGGAGGGGCCCAGGGACCCCCGCTCTTCCCCAGGGCTGGAGTGTCTTGCAGCCGGCCTGCCCTGAAGGCAGCACCACCGAAGACATGCCAGGCCCTGGTCCCCCCGCTGCCCTCGGGAGTGTGAGGGTGGCCGTCTGAGGAAAGGGGGCAGCAGGAAAGGGTGACAACGGAAACCAAGCAGGACCCTGGGGGGCTCCTGGGCACAGAAGCCTTTCCATGCCCCCCGCTTTTGTTTGTAGGGAACAGACTCCAGCCCCCATGACCTTCCCTGAGTTCCAGAGGGCAGATTCGAACCGTTGCTAATCAGGGAAGGGAGAGGACGCAGAGACAAGGGAGGGGCAGCCAAGAAGCAATAGAGCAGCCTTGGGCCAGGGTCCTGGTTCCGCCTCAAGGGATACACAGAGGGACTTCCCTGCTGGCACAGTGGTTAAGAACCCACCTGCCAATGCAGGGGACACGGGTTCAAGCCCTGGTCCAGGAAGATCCCACATGCCGCGGAGGAACTAAACCCGTGCGCCACAACTACTGAGCCTGCGCTCTAGAGCCCGCAAGCCACACTACTGAGCCCACGTGCCACAGCTACTGAAGCCCGTGGGCCTAGAGCACGTGCTCTGCAACAAAAGAAGCCACCGCAATGAGAAGCACAACGAAGAGTAGCCCCCGCTCGCCGCGCTAGAGAAAGCCCGTGTGTGGCAACGAAGACCCAAAGCAGCCAAAAATAAATAAAATAAAGGTCCAGTGGTTAAGACTCTGCATTTCCAAAGCAGGGGGCGCAGGTTCGATCCCTGGTCAGGGAATTAAGATCCCACCTGCTGTGTGGCGTGGCCAAACCAGAAAAAACAAAAAAGGGGGGAGTGTCTGCTTTTATGATAATATAATAATTATCATAGCGTAATAATTAATAAAACCACATAGAATATAATATGTGATTAAATATCATATTATAATAAATAATATTATTTATTTATTTTTATAAAAACTTAGTAATCGTTATAATATCCACCTGCAAAGGTCGTAAGAACATCACAAGGTGTACAAGGCATGTGAAGTAGGCCCAGAGATGTACGTGGCGGAGACCGTCATTCCCACAGGGGATTTAGCTCCTCAAAGCAAAGGAGGGCGCACTCATCTCTACGTCCCTTACACCCAGCTCAGTGGCTGGCACCTACTAGGTGCTCCATAAATAGGCTGGTTGTTGATTGAATAAAGGACCGCTAAACCCACCTAGAGGGCTGCGGGCCACGGCAGCCCAGGAAGCCAAGGCCTAGGGCACCAGTCCCAGGGCAGAGCTGGGGTCCTGGGGAGATGAGCCCGGGCCTGGGGGAGGGGCACGGGCAGGAGGAGGACGGCCGGGGCCGGGCAGAGGACCAAGAGTGGAGAGGGTGCACCCCGGCCTGCCACCCAAGCAAAGGCCCCCCAACCCTGACCCAAGCCCAGGCTCTGTGCACCCTCCTGACCCTCGTAGGACCCCTGAAGAGAGCACGGTGACTTGGACAGCCTGGAGAGGGTGACAGCTTGGCCCCCGACTTGCTGGAGCTAAAGGAAGCGGTGGAGGTGACTGGGGTTGGGGAGACAGGGCGCCCCACCCACCGTCCACGAGCTGCAGCGCGCTGGACCTGCAGGTTTCTCGCTTGGGAGAGTTAGCGCACTTGTCTGCACTCCCCTTTCCCTCCCCGGAAATACAGAACGCCAGCACCGCCCGCAGCCTCGGCCTGGCTCTGTGTGGGGGGCCTCTTCTGCCCCACAAGGTAGGTCAGAGCTGCAGGCCTCCCTGGGCCCACTGAGCTAAGTTCTCGGCTCACCGTGAGTCCCCAGGCCACTCCATGCCTGCTGGAGCCCACCCCCTGGCCGCCCACTGCCTCCCGGGATACTGGCTCTCGAGCAGGGGTCCTAAACTTTTGGGGGGAAGTTCCCTGTAGTAAACATTTTAGGCTTCGAGGGATGTACTGTCACCGTTGCCAGCAATCAACTCAAAGCCGCCCTTGCAGAGGGAAAGCAGCCACAGAGGACACACAGGCATGCGCGGGGCTGTGTCCCCATAGAACCTTACGTGCATAAACAAGCAGGGCCCTGGGAGCCGTGGCCTCAGACCTCGGTCTTAGAGTGAGATCCAGCCCGACAAGCCGCCCGGTCTGGTCCCTGCTGTCTCCCTCCCCTGAACTGGAATCCAGGTTCACACCCAGGGACACAGCCCTCAAAATCCCAGCTTGGCCTGGCCCCCTTCTGTGGTCTCTGCTCTCAACGAAACCCACTTGAAGCCAGACTTGGCACTTTGTCGTATTTTTTTAAAGCCCAGTCTGATATCACAGGTGAGCGGTGTCAACTTTCCTGCTGATGGAGAAGAGGTGGCCCTGCACGCCCCTCAGCCGGCCTGAATCCACGGTCTCTACCAGCTCTCCCCACGTTCCCGTCCTGGGGCCAGCCCTTCACCCTGCTTCTGCCCTTCTCACCACTATTTCTGGGGGCCTGGCCCTGGCAGATCCCTTCGGGCCGCATATTCCTCAGGGACTCAGGAACCACCCTTCTGAGAAGATTGAGGGCCCCCAAGGAGTTAATACCGTTTGCTGAATTTTGTGCTCTGTTTCTACGTTGGTGTGTCTGCTTGGCATCTTAGAGAATCCTCCACACCTAATGTGGGCCTGGGACAGAGGCCACACCCAACAGATACTTGGCTGAGTGAGCGAATGAATGGATGAGTGAGTGAATGAATGGATGAGTGAATGAATGGATGAGTGAGTGAATGAATGGATGAGTGAGTGAATGAATGGATGGGTGACTGAATGAATGAGTGAGTGGACACAGAGAAACGGAAGGCTTTTCCATAGCGGAGCCCAAATTTCACACCGAAGCTTTCGTTCCCAGTGAGGTGTCTCTTCCACCATGACGGCTGCCTCCTGAGAGGACTGGCACAGAGCACACACTGGGTTTCCCTATTTTAGGTGGGAAGTGGGGCTTTTCACCCCCAGACAGGATGTGAAGGAGACCAGTTATCCACAGATGCGCCAAAGTCCCTCCCCTCTGAAAGCCACGACTTGCTATCCTCTTTAAGCAGTGCAGTGAGAGAGGCCTCCCTCCCTGCCGTCCCTTCCTACAGCACCCACCCTATCCGCCAGCCCAGGCCAGGCAGGTAAGCCGAGTCCAGGCAGAAAGGGAGCAGCGTCAGCAGGAGAGCAAACAGCCAGGGTGAGAGGCCGGCTTGTTCAGAGGGCTGAGTGGCGAGCCTGGAGGCAGGTTCTTCTTCTGGGATCCCCCCTCCACCAGCAGAAGCTCTCACACACCCAACCCTTCGGGGCCAGAAACTCTGTCGCGGATACACTACCCGCCCCCTCCCCGGCCCCCGCAGACTCCAGCTGAGCTGAAACCTGTCTGGGTTCTGGATCCCGTGTGCATGCCTGCCTGGGGTGGACCTCATGCCCTCCCTGCACGTGCCAGGCACTGCCCGAGGCTCCAGGAGAGCCTGGGAAATTCCCAGGTGGCCTCATCCCCAGGTGCCCCACGTGTGGGTCAGCAGCCCTGGCTCCCCCACCAGGAGACGAAGGAAGGGTGCCCTGTCCCGTCACTTACATCCCACGGTCGGCAGGATGCTCCTGAAATCATTCTTCACATACTGGAGAGCCAAGCTGGACTTGCCCACAGAACCACTGCCCAGGAGAACCAGCTTGAAGATGCAGGCCTGGCCCAGGGCAGCCCCGGGCCGGGGGACCCCCTCCACCTGCGCCATGCCCTGCAGAGAGACAATGATGGATGGAGGCTGAATGTCAGATACCAAATACTCTGAGCAAGTGGGCCCCCGGGACGCTGCTGCCCTGGATGAATACAGACAGCCTTGAACGGAAAGGAGCTCCACGTCAGAGGCACCTGGCTTGCCACTCTGCACCCCATCTCCCCTTCTGGAACGTGGGGTGAGCAATAGCTATAATATATGCCTGCTGTGAGTGAGTGAATGGATGAGTGACTGAATGAATGAGTGAGTGGACACAGAGAAACGGAAGGCTTTTCCATAGCGGAGCCCAAATTTCACACCGAAGCTTTCGTTCCCAGGGAGGTGTCTCTTCCACCATGACGGCTGCCTCCTGAGAGGACTGGCACAGAGCACACACTGGGTTTCCCTATTTTAGGTGGTAAGTGGGGCTTTTCACCCCCGGACAGGGTGGAAATGTCGTGAGGTGCTTGCAAAGCGTGTGCACGGTGCCCGGCAGGGGCCTATGCATATGAATGGCTTCGTACCCTGCAAAGTAGTGATCGTGTGCTAGTCATCATACTGGCTCATTGCCCTCTTTCCATCACCTCTCACTTTTGAAAAACCTATGACTTATTCCAAAAAGGTTCTGAAATACCTAAAAGGTACAGCACTCTCTCAGCTGTGGTTCATGGATTCAAATTGGTGTTTCAAGAAAAAGCTTGGTGTTTCAAGGATCTCAAAACATTGCATTCCTTCCCACTGTATTGAAAGCCTCAGAACCCACAGTGATATGCCCTGGAGAAAAACGGCTCTGTGATCAAAATTAATTTGGGCAAACCCTGCACATGTTTTCATTGTAGAAAATTTCAGGCATGTACCAGAACAGAGAGGATGGAGGTTGCTCTGGTGGACCTCAGATCTCCATCATCCACCTCCACAAGAATCAGCTGTGTAAGGCCAACTGGCCCGAGGCAGGGGAACACAATCAGATTCACAGGTTGCATCAGACCGAAATTCTCCGGACCACCCAGTTCCAGAAACTGCCCTGGAGACATTCCGGACCACCCAGTTCCAGGAACTGACCTGGGGACTTTGAACCCAGCCCAGCCTTCCCGCCTTTCGAGGGGCGGGACTAACGGTCCACCAGGATACCCGAAAAGACCACCAAATAAGGAATGCCCTGCGCCCTCCCAGATTCACCACACCCCTTGCCCTTCTTCCCCTATAAAATCTTGCCCAACCCTCGCCCGGGCACGACTTCTCTGGCCCCTTTCTCTCGGACCAGTGAACCTCGCCCGGGAGCGCTCCCTAATAAAGCTCACTTGAAGCTTTCCTCTGTTCCCCGGTGCCCTTTGTTAAGATCCAACCTTAGAAGCTGTGGCCAATCTTGTTTCACCCACATCCCCAAACCCCGCTTCCTCCGAAGATTAGTTTGAGGGAATTCCTAGACATCCTATTAATTCTCCTGCAAATCTCGGTATATGTACATGCATCCTCTTTTTCTCTGTAATTTATTTGTTGAAGAAATCAGATTGCCTTGTAGTTTCCAGTCTGGATTTTGCTGATTGCATCCCTAAGTTGTCATTGAATGTGTTCCCTTGAACCCTGATTTTCTGTAGCTTGATGGCTCAGAACAGAAATCTGATTGGATATAGGCTGTCTTTTGGCAAGAATACTGTCATGAGTGTGGTGGGCATTTCCTCAGGAGGCAACAGCCATTGAAAACTGTCCCTACGTCCACTGTCTCATTCGGGGGCTGCAAACTGGTGGCATTCCACTGTTATCATTTTGTCTTCGTCTACTCTCTGGATTGCATCTAGAGAAAACTTCCCCTGAAAAATACCCAAACCCACCTCAGAGCTAGCCCGTTCAGTGAACAGAGCCTCTCCCACCTCATTGCAGTGGGTGGGAATGGAGGAAGGGAAGGGATTTTGAAGAGGGAGGGAGAAAAGTGAGAGCAGTTGGAAGCAGACCCGGTTTCCTCGCTGTCCCCAACAGGCAGCCACAGCCACAGACTGGTCTGGTCTGCGCTGTGGGGACAAAAGGAAAAGAATCGAGTTTGGGATCAAAGTTTAAAAGCAAACAGGACGGAGTCCTAAATACCAACAAGACTTTCTAAACAGAAGGTGACTGGAGTTACAGGGTTTGGCAGAGAAGGGTTCACAGGCCCATCCACTCCCTGGCGAAAGGGACACAGCAGAGCTGAATGGTTACTGGAAAGCATGTCTGGAGCCCCATCTTCCATGGGATGCTGTCAAGTTTCACCATCGGGGAGGATGCTTAATTGTGTCAACGGATGACATCCCACCAGGGCACCCTGCGACTTCCTCTGCATTCCGCAGACCCGCAGCTGCCCCGGGGGTTGGGGAATGGAGTTCTGCAGGGGCCAGTCCTCTCTCCAGAACCCACCACCCATGCAGGAATTCAAAGCAGCCCTTCTACAGATTTCTGATCCACTGGTAGAAATTAAACTCAAAGGCAAAATAAAATAAACACCAGGAACAAATGGGGGCGCCCCCCAAAGTGGCTGGCCCTCCACGGATAAAATGACAGCCTAGGATTCAGCTCTACAGGCCAAAGGGCAAGTCAGAGTCCGGAATGAGGAGAGAAGCCGCAGGAAAGATAACAAAAAGATATTGGCTCAAAGTTCAGAGGTTGCTAGAGCTGCTTATCTGTCAACCCCACGGCCTAATCATCTGGGGAATTTGCCTTACGGTGAAGAAGCTGCTACATCTGCTCTCTTCTCTGTGTTCACCTTGATGCAATCCCTCTCCCACCACAGCCTCCTGTCTGGTCTCACAGCTGCCACCCCTACCCCACCCCCTCACCCCCGATCGTGTGTCCAGTCCCCATAAATAGCAGTGCATAAAAGAGAGAAAAGTCTCTGCATCGTGGGGCCCACAGCTCCCTGTTCCTCTTCTTGATGGAAATGATCTGTTTCCAGCTCTCCCTTAATTCGTAGAATTATTTTTTTCTTGGTTCTCTCTCTCGCCGGGCTATAACTGCTCACGAAAGCAAAGACAGTGTTCACTGAGATGACAGTAGGTGCTCAATAAATGTCTCGTGCATATCCGTAGGGATGGCGTAGCAAGTCATAACTAGACAGACACGCTGCTTCCTCCGCACAGTTTGCACAGCCAGTCCAACCCCAGGGAGCTTGTCAAAAAGTGGGCTGGGAGCTTCCCTGGGGGTGCAGTGGTTGAGAGTCCACCTGCCAATGCGGGGGACGCGGGTTGGTGCCCCGGTCCGGGAAGATCCCACATGCCGCGGAGCTGCTGGGCCCGTGAGCCATGGCCGCTGAGCCTGCGCGTCCGGAGCCTGTGCTCCGCAACGGGAGAGGCCACAGCAGTCAGAGGCCCACGTACCGCAAATAAAAAAAAAAAAAAAAAGTGGGCTGGGATCTCTGCAGAAAGAGAAACCAGAGGAGGGGCATCCAGGAGGTGCTGGGACCAGCTTCCTCCAGGCAGCTCAGCCCGAGTGACCAAGAAAAGCAGAAAGTTACAGGTTTAAAGGCAACCCGGCATTCAGATTCAGACAACGTATTCAGATGAGGCTGCTGTAACAGCACGTAAAACCTTGACCAACTTAAAGTGGTTTTGCCTCCTTAAAGAGGTGGGTTGACTAATCAAACCCGGAGTTACTGTACAGAGACAGCACTGCGCATGCGCAAGGCGGGAACCCACGTCTCCAGGATGACTCCCAAACCAGAAAGCTCCAGACTAGGAAACTCAAAGAATAGAAATGTTGCCCCCAGAGCCCTTTAGGAAGGACAGGTCCTTTAATAAGGAAAATCTGGCTTCCTGGAGCGCGCGCGTAGCTTATAGGGAGATTCAAGACTAGCCGGTTCGCTTCCAAGTTTAAAATTCCCCGAAGCCCTTAAATTTTGCCCCAAACGTGGATTGTAGAGACACGTTTGAGAGCCTTGCCGGTCGACCTCGAATTAAACCTCTGTCTTTTCTCAAAAGCCAGTGCCATAGTGTTGCTTCTATGCTTGTTGGGCAGGGAGCCCTTGCCCTACAACACTGCGGGGGAGGGGGGGACCAAGGCTGATGGACCCGCCATCTCCACTGAGGCGCAGGGTGACCGTGTGCTCAGGGCCCCTGCACGGCTCGGCGGCACACAGGTTTCTACTGAAGCAGAGCAAGAAGCCTCCGGGGGTCCTGGCGTTACCCCACCTTACAGAGAGGCCCAGCAGCTTTTCTAAGAGAAAGATGCAGGAGTCCAAGCCAGAGCAGGCTCAAGGAGGAGGATGGGGGCGGGGGAGAGATGGACTGAGAGTTTGGGGTCAGCAGATGCAAACTATTATATAATGGATGGATAAACAACAAGGTCCTACTGTATAGCACAGGGAATTATATTCACTATCCCGGGATAAACCATAATGGAAAAGAGTATGAAAAGGAATGTATATATATGTATAATTGAATCACTTTGCAGTACAGCAGAAATTCACACAACATTGTAAATCAACTAGACTTCAATAAAACAAATTTAAAAAAAAATTTTTTTTTTAAGCCAGAACAGGCTGCCTTCACGTCCACACTGGATTCACCAGGCACGAGCATCATTTCAGTCACTTACAGAGGCAGCAGGACCTGTGCTCCACCCACATCAAGAACCGCTGGTGCAACGAGCCTGCCGGGGAGCCGCTGGCCGGACCTCATTGCCCAAAAGATGGTCATCTCAGTAGCAAGCCCTCACTTACAAATCACTTTTTCTTTTTTTTTTTTTTGGCCTAGTATGTAGAGAAACAGAAAGTAGAGTGGTGGTGACCAGAGGCTGGGGTGTGTGTGGGAAGTGGGATGATATTGGTAAAAGGGTGCAAACTTCGGTTGTAAGATTCACAGGTTCTGGGGATCTCATGTACAGCGTGATGATTAAAGCTCATATGGTATTATACACTCGAAAAGTATTAAGAGAGTAGATCTTAAATGTTCTCACCACAAAAAGAAATGGTAATTATGTGACGGGGTGGAGGTGTTTTTGCAATATGTAAATGTACCCAATCAACACGTAACATACCTTAAATTTACCCCATGTTATATATATGTCAATTGTCTCAATAAAGCTGGAAAAAAGAAACGCTTTTAAGAATGGAATTCCCCAGGTTTCTGTGCCACCCCAGGCTAATACCTTGTTTCTTGCGAAAGTACTTAAGGCACCTGCTTAGAAGCAGATATTCCACTGATTTGTGCTGTAATTTTACATAAAGAGAAAGTTCTAACACACCTACAGCAATTCTCAAGTATTTAAAGATACCCCTTTAAGTTTTCCTTGCTATTTATGTGCACTAATTAATAAAACTCTCCTTAAGTCAAGAAAATCTTTAGCCCCAAACATGTCTGAATTAACCAAAATCGGTGGAGTATGAATAAACATGCCATTACTATGATACCACATACAGGTGACACATCTCTTTATCTAAAAACATTATTTTTCAATAAATATAAACACATAATTGTCAATATGAAAAAAATGAGATTACCCGTAATTCCACACCCTTAATACAACGGATGGTATCTTGCCTACTTTCTTCTAATTTTTTGTATAAGAATCTTAAAAACAAACCATCATTTGAACATAAAATTATGCATCCTACATTAAAAAAAAAAGTAAGACATATGAAGGGCGGTTTTCCACATTACTGCATATGTTGTAGAAGCATTTGACCTATGTTGTTTAATGACCACATAATACCCCTACAACAATTCCAATTTCCTGAACTATTTCTCTGTTACTGGATTTTTACTTGGCTTTAATTGTTTTTTCTCTGTAATAAATAAGACTGCAGTAAGCATTTTCATGTATGAGTTTTCGTGTGATTGCACGTTGATTAGAGGTTGAAGCCCTCTGTTCAGAGAGGACTCCAATTGAAAAATGTGACTCCTGACCCGGCCCCTGTAATTTCATGAAGACAGGGTTACTGAAGTGTCTCTAAACGCAGAGACGATCTCAAGAATGCCACGTTCGTGATCGGGGCCAACAGGGACACCCTGCGGAGCATTTCGGTTTCGGGTTTTTCATTTCTGACAAGCTCATCTCCTTGCACCAAGGGAAAAAGGAGAGATTGCAAGTCCAAACCGGTCTTCCTGGGGGAGGGTCGCTCCAGGGGAGCGTCTCATCTGCCGAGTTCGTCGCCAGCGAGCATGTCCTCCTCCAGCTCTCCCCGCCCAGGCGTGTAAGGAACGCAGGGCTTACTGTGCAGTTGTCTATTCTGAGGTCAGTCGGTAGCACTTGGGCACCGTGATCCATTTGAAATGGATTCCTGTAAGGGCCCCTATTCATTACGTTCAAGCCTTTAAATGGATTTTCCCAGAGGCCACTCTTTAAATAGGAATCTCCTTCCAGGACCCTGACCTAGCAAGCCGTCGGGGACGAGCAAGGACACCTCTGGCGCTCAGGAGAGCACACTCCTGGCTCTTCACTTCGCCCTTTTGAGTCTGTGCACTGGGGCTCGTGCACGGACACACGTCAGACACAAAGGTGCAGGCACACATGACACACACGGATACACTCACACCCACATACATGCACACAGACACACAGATACAAACAGACACACATCGATATTCGCACACAGATACACACAAACACACACACACACTCGACAAAGCACACAGAAGTTTAAACAATGACACACACACAGTCGACAAAGCACGCAGAAGTTTAAACAATGACTCACCTGTTCCCCAGGCCTGGTCACTTCCAGAGAGCCTGACACCCTATCATCACCGGGTCCCACAGGGCCCCTACGTGTGTCCCCTTTCTCCCCGCTCCTGGCCAGGGGAAAGTTTTGTTCCCTCAACAGGCGGGCTGGGGCGTGGCTGTGGCCCCGGGGCCAGGCAGAGGCTCACAGAAAACAGGTGAGAGGCAGCAGCCTCGGGCCAAGGCGATGCCCAGGCCCCTCCCCCAAGGCCTCCACCCTTCCCGAGAGGCTCTCAGGGCAAGGTCCACCGTGGTCAGGTGGTCACCTGGGGCAGCGGGAGGCTGGACCTTAATGCAGGCGCTGCGGGTGCACCTGGGCACCTGCCGGAAGTCACGCTCCCATCCGGTCACCCAGCTGCGCCTGAGTTTCTCAGTTTTGTTACGAGTTGCATTTCAATGCTGATTTATTTCCTTCTGCTCCTCCCTCGAGCTGTGGGGCTCTTTGTTGTGCTTGAAACTAGTAGCCCAGAAGAGAAGGAAGTATTTGGGTCAAATGAATTCATTCCTGCCACAAACAGCTGGGCGCCAGCGCTGGGGGCCCTGAGCCTGGAACCAGGGGCAAGGCAGGGTGTGCTGGTCCTGGGGTCAGACCAGCCCATCCTGCCTGGATGCCTCGGGGTGGGGGGCTGTATTTCCCTGATGCCTTCTCCCAGCAACCTGACTGCATCTCCCGGAGGTGGGAGGGTCTAGGCACAAGACGAGGGCAGGGGACATTTTCCTCGTCCTCCCAAATTCGTCACACGACTCTAGCTGCGGAATTTCCCGCCTCAGCAGTGATGGAATAGCCTCTTTGAGATAAGATTTTCAGCGTCTCCGAGCACTGGGGAAGGGGGAGCCAGATGCTGAGAAAGGTAGAGATCTGTGGGCCACGAATCTGTCTGCAGACACAGTGTGCAGAAAGGTGGCTTTCTTTATGTTCTCACGACTCACCTTAATTTCAGTGAGCCACGCTCTGTCAGCTCCGTGGTGCCCCCGCGCCCTGCGGGGTCCTGGGGTCTTCTGTTGGAGGGGACACCTGTGTAAGTCCCAGTGGGCACTCCCTCCCCCCCTCCCTCCAGGGCCGGCCTCTGTCGGCTGCACCCACACCACCCTGGGGACAGGGGTTCTTCCCCCACACGATCATTTCATCCAGCTGCCTCCCCGGGTACCACCACATAATTGTCCTGTCACTTTGGAGACTGAGAACCCCTCTCCCCTTTTGAATGATGTCCTCATCCCCGACCCGCAGACCGGGAACCAAAGGTCTGGGTGCTGACGCGCTGCCCTGCCCAGAGAACCCGTGTGACAGAGGGTCCAGCTCTGATGCAGGTGAAGGTGCTTTTCTCTAACGGGGATGGGCGTCTCCCCAGTTATCGTGAAGCATCCACCTTCCTGCAGGTTGATAGGGGCACAAGATGGGAGGGGGGTGTAGAGATCAGCTTTGTGACAGGAATGCAAGAGACAAAGTAGTAAATAACCAGCGTCTAACACCCCAAATGGGAGTTTTGCGCCCGCAGTCAGACAGTAGGTTTGAAAGCCAGACCCTGTCCAAAGAAGAGATTTGGGGGTCCTTTAAAAAGCTCCCATGTGACTCTCCAGCCGCCATGGACCATGTTAGGGAAGGTCCCAACTGGAGGGCAGAGGGGGAGATGGGGGGAACGGGGACGCAGAGGCCCCCTACTCACAGCTGCGCACACGCCTTTCCTGCCCACCCTCGAGGGCAGGGGCTTGCAATCCTGGAGAGGTCTGGGGAGCCCAGATACGCCAGGGGGCCGGCTGGAAACCCCTAGAAGAGCCACTCGTGCCAGTCTTCTCTGTCCCTTCCCCTCCTCACGCTGCCATGAGGTCTCGGGTCACCCTGCCCACCGAGGTCCCCAGCGTCCGTCTCGCAGAGGAGTGGGAGTAGAAGGAAGGCATCTGAGAGAGCGGGCATCTCACCCACATCCTTTCTGTGACTGCGGGAGACCAAGGTCCCTGCACTGGACACAAGTTGAGAAGCCCTCCCTCAATTTTCCAGAGGAAGAGGCCTCGCAGAGAAGTTCTGGTTAATCGCTATGAAATAAAACTGCGTTAAGAATTCTGTGACCTGTGGCCCCGGAACCCTCAGTGACTGCCCCAGGGGAGGACGTGTCACTCCCGGGCGCAGAGGAAAGAGCCCCAAGTTCACGATGCTCCCACCACAGCCTGGAGCAGAGCCAACCCAGCACTCTGACAGCCTCTGGGTGAATAGGGGCTCGGGGCCTGGGTACTTGTCTGTCAGCCTGTAACAAGCAACCACCAACACGGTCGCCTACAACACACGCTTATTATCTCACAGTTCCCATGGGTCAGGAATCTGGGCACAGCCTGATGGGTCCCGTGCTCAGGGTCTCACAGGCTGCGGTCAAGGTGTCGGCAGGGCTGCATCCTTTCTGGAGCCCAAGGTCCAATGCAAGCTCATGTAATCTTGGTGGAACCCAGTCCTCTGCTGTTGTAGGACTGAAGTCCCGTTTTGCTACTGGCCGCCAGTCAGAGGGCACTCTCAGCTCTGAGAGGCCCCAAAAGAGCGCCAAGCCCCCAGGCCCTCTCACACACGGCAGCTTGCTTCCTCGAGGCCATCAGGATCTCTCGCTGACTTCCAGACCCACTAGCACAGCCTCACCTGATTAGGTCAGGCCCACCGGGCACAATCTCCCTTTCCTTAACTCAGAGTCAGCTGATGAGGGACCTTAGTTACATCTGCAAAAACCTCTTCCCCTTTGGCATGTAGTATGACCTAATCTCAAGAGTTGGCATCATTGTATCCAGGCCCTGGGCACTCTCAAAAGAGGGGATCAGCCAGCGTGTGGACACCTAGTGTGGGCATCTCGAGAGCCATCCAGAATCCTGTCTGCCTCGGACCTGAGCCAGAGCACACAGAGGGGGGCACTGCTCCCCCCACCAGGGACGCAGAGGGAAAGCGCACCACTGGCAGGTGGTGAGAACCCCTCCCACCCTGGGGCCTGGACTCAGGCCAGTCCCCAACAGCCGACCTCTTCTCACCTCGAAAGGCCCAGGGGCACCATGAGAGGCCAGGACTCAGATACTCAGGAGGGCCTGGGGGCTGATTGCTTCTGTGGTCTTAGGGTCACCCTGCACAGCTGTCATTTGGGTGGGTCTTTTCCCTGAAACCTGTGGGTTCCTCCTGCAGAGACCTTGGCAAGTCACTCCCCTCTCGACACCTGTTTCCTCACCTCTAAGGTGAGGGGGTTCCCTTCACCTCTGGCCTCTGTGATCTGGTCTCACGGCACAGAGAGCAAAGCCGGGGGTGCTCACACTTAAATCAGAGGAGGCTTTCCCGTGAGGTTGTGTGAGTCAGGCTCGGGGACAAACAAAGTCCCTGGTGGGGAGGATGGAGACTTAGAACACAGACCTTCTAACCCCACTGAGACCTGCACCCCAGAATTATCACTGCTTATGGTAGAAACTAATCAAAGACAGCACATAAGAAATTTGCTTACGTGACCATAATTAATATTATTTTTATATGGCCATACTAACTTTTAACTTTCTCTCTTGGCATTTGTCAACTTTCCTGTATTGACATTAACAGGAAGAATTTCCACTGCACCAATTAATCAGGCCACAGATTCAGACAGGTACACTCATGGGCATATTCCCCCTTCAAAAGAAATGCAAAATTACAGAATTTTGGAGCTGAAGGGGCCCCTGGGGACTATGTGGCCTGAGCACCCAGTGGCTGAAGAACCCAGCAACAGCCCTGCTGACTCATGTCCCAGTCAGTCCCTGCTCAGATATCCACGGTGGATTCTAGATTCTAGGATTTGAAATCCTGAGACGGTTCAAACATCAGCCTTTGTAACTTCCCACCCGCCTGACCCACTGCGGCATAAACATTTCTGATATTTCTGAAGCTGTTATCAGGGCTTGTAACCAACACTGCCAACTGCCCACCCAGACCTCCTTGTAAAAGGACCCCCCATGGCTCAGATGATCAACACAGCTTTCCAGTAGATGTGCCCAGTGGCCCACTCTAGGGATCTGGGGGAAGAGTAGCCTCCCCTTCCTCCTTGAGGCCTCCTTGCTGGGCTGTAGCTAAGGACCAATCTCATAGTGTGATAGACATCTGAGGTGCAGATCTTCCAGAATGTTCTTATCTCCTAAGGCCTTTGAGATAAGCAGGAATGACCTCCAGCCTTGCCCCGAAACCTGCACCCTCACTTATCTCAATGGAAAATTCCAGCAGGGGTTTCTGAACACCAAGTGAAATTCCTCAGCTCAACAATCAGTTCAGTGCATGGCTGCCAGCCAGGCTGGGCAGAGCAGAGGGGAGGAAAGCAAAGCCCTGCCCCGGGGTGCCCAGGGCTGCAGGGATGCGACAAGACCACACCGAGCAAGGGGGCCGCCCTGGTTCAGACACGGTCCAAACGGGGCAGAGGGCACAGGCAGAGGAGACACCTCGCTTGGCCGGAGGGAAGAGAGATGGGTATTTCCAGGGGGAAATACTGACACAAAGATGGACAGACGGATGAGAAACTTATGCAATGGCCCAGAGAAGGAAGGGTTTTCCCAGCCCCAGAGGTAGTGTGAGCACAGCGCGAGCCCTGGAACCGCGCGCTAGGGGGCGCTAGGGGAGACTGCCAGCGAGTGCAGTCTGGGTGGGTAGCCGGGGTGAGGGTGGAGAGGCCTTGTACAATTCCATAAAGACTAGAAACATAGCAAACCAACGGAGGCACTCTTTATAGAGCACAGACTATGCACCACCACTGTGCTAAGTCCTTAACTCAGAGTCTCTGATTTCATCCTCATCCCCACAGCAACCCCAGCCTGTGGGCCACCCCCCAGAGGGCCCTCTGCTGGCCTTCTGCCAGCCATGCCTTCCTCAGGGGAGAGGAGTCCATGGAAGCAAGGGGCATGACTACTTAAAACCCTCGCCCCTGACTTCTAGATTCTGAGATGGCAGAATTCCCTAGTAGACCTAAGCCCACTTCCCTGCAGGCCTCGGGGCTGGGTCTGCCCCCCGAAAGCAAACCACGCCACCAGTGTGTGCACCCAGGCCAGGAGGCAGCGGCCGGTGGGCAGAGTGGTTGGAGATGCAGAAAGACTTGATACTTGAAGAACTCAGTCTGCTCCCAGATCAGACACTGATATCCTGAAACTGGCACTGCCCCTAACCCCACCTCATT